TCTTAGATCCTAGATTAATTGCTTCATTGGTGTATCTCAAATTTCTTATATAAGACCAGTGTTTAGTCTTTCATCTCTTGCATCCATTTTTCGATTTCTTGATTGGAGTTGCAATTGTTTTGCTATTACAACTTAAAAGAAATCACATAAATGAGAAAACTCATAATCAAATTGGAAAAACTAAAAACCCTTACTAATCTTGACCATTAGGAATAATCGAACAAGATTACAAGATATGAAAGTTTATTTTTTAAAATTTTTATTTTAAAATAAATAAAAAATTTGGAATTAGTTTTAAAGCAACCCGAGATCGATTAATTAAGTTGAACATTTTAATAGTTAAAACGTCTTGGTTAGAGGTTCTTTGACCATTTCAACGCTTTTTTTTTTTTTTTGTAAAATAGCACTTCATGGCCAAAGCAGAATCGATGACCTAACTGGTTCCCAGCTCAAATGATTTTTCTATTTAAATATTCGTATTGTCCCATTTCCCAATGTTTTCAAAATTTGAGCTTTGACTTCCAAAAAAGTAATTTGATAAAAATTGGTATTCACATAGCTATATCCATCATACAATTTTTTTTTTGTGCATGTTTTATGTTTTACCAATTTCAAAAACATTGTCTAAAAGAACAAGCATTTGCTCATTGCTTGTCCGGTGGGAATATAGGTATGATAAATTGGTAATTTTAGGAATTACTCGGATTTCCCTTTGATGGTCCATTTAGAAGGAGAGAAATGGCTGCATTTTGAGGACTTCTAGTATATTAGATTTGTTTGAAAAACAAATTGCATAACTAAAGTTATCAACTAATAAAATGTTAATAAATATGAATTTGTACTTACTGTTGTGTTTGTTATGATTAGAGAAGTAATTTGCTTATGCTCCACAGCTTAGTTTTCCAAGTGGATAGGCTTTTTGGTGTCTGTCACTATCTGGACTTGGGGTGTTGGTTGTTCTTGTTTCTATTGTTTGGTCTGTTTTAAGTAGTTTTTCTCTATCTTTTCAGATATTATTATGAGGAGTTGTCGACATGGTTCTTTTCCTGGAAAGAAGGATGGGACTTTCTACTCTTTCATTGGAGGCACTCCAAGTACAATCAACAGGTTAAACTACAGTTGTGTAACAGAGTGTCCTGACTTCTCAATGGTGATTGCATTCTCTTGAACTCTACTTCATCATTCATTGTTGATTTTTCTCAACTAAAATATATTTTATATTCTCCCAAGTGTGAAATGTCTTTTATCAGAGTTCTAAGTATCATATGTGTTCTTGCTTAGTCATGTGCTGTAGGAGGATTTAAAGGACCAATTTCAAGAACAGTGAGAATGGGCATTCCTGTGGCAGGATCAATTTTCAACCAAGGCTTTTCAGGATTTGTTATGGCCAAGTTCTTGCATTTTATCATATTTCTCTTGATGTTCAGATGTATAAATGCTTGGTTACTTTATCCCTTTTCAGTCCACAAGCATGCCAGCAAAGAGGTTTTTTAGCAGGTCCAGGTGGGCTGTCCTAGCATGGTTCACATTATCTATACTCAGGTGATTTGAATCCTTTAACCCTTTTTGGCTTTGAAAGTTCAGTATATTTATCTATTGTATTAAGTGAAAACATCCTAGAGAGGTTTCTTCTTATGTTTGTCTAGATATATATTTTTTATTAGAACCTGAGCTAAACTATCGGAAATCCGATTCAACTCCCTAGGGGTCCATCTGAAAGTGCAGAACAAGAAGAAACAATTGATGGCTATTTGTCTGTTAGATATAAATATTCCAACCTTCTGCATACGTTTGGATCTGTTCTGTGCACACTAACTAGTGATGGCCAGCTGTCCATCCTACGCGTTATGGTTTTGGCCTGTGCACAGGGGTCAAGTGGAGCTCTGGAGTCCAGAAGAAATAGCTGTCTATTGCTGATTGGCGCACTCAGCAGATCTCATCTCTATATCTATTAAATTCTGAGTATATCCATGGTTTAGATTTTCTGGAGCATCTGTATGCATCCATCATATGCTTCTTAAAACTGATTTGCCAATATGCATGTTTACCTTTCCTTATAATGTTGATTTTTAGCATTTTGATGTTTTTCCCATAGTGCACTGAGTTTGTAACCCATACTACTAGTTTTTGTATGGAATGTGGTTGCAGAGCTTCCTCCACACCAAGTGATTGGAATGCCTTCTCTCTCTCTCCTACAATGCAGAGGTACACAGGTTCAATTTTGTTATGATGTAGATATTGACACTGAAAAAGGATCCTTTATTGTCATTACTAAGTAATTTTCTTAAGACTGGGTAGCATTGCACGATAGCTGATGAAAGAAGGTGATAAGGTTTCTCCTGGTGAAGTTCTCTGCGAGGTTGAAACTGTAGGCTTCTTGCTTCTGGTCTTTAGTTTAAGTTTGAAACTTTGTAAAATATGTGTCAAGGATGCATTAAAAACTAGAAAAACTAATAGCTCCAAACTAGGCTGCATTCATTAAGGGCAGGCAAGGTGTTGATAATATCATCTTAGCACAAGAGATAGCAAACAAAATGAAGAAACAGTGCAGAGGAAAAGGAAGGGCCATGCTGAAGATAGACATGTCAAAGGAATATGATAGAATTCAAAGGGATTTTTAGTAAAAATGATGGAGAAGACGGGATTCTAATATGGTGCAAAATGGTGAATTTTTGTATTCAAACACCAAGGTTCTCAATTAAAATAAATGGAACCCTAAAAGAACTTTTTCTGGTTAGGAATGGATAAGACAAGGTGGTCCACTTTCACCTTACCTATTCATTATAGGAATGCAAGCACTGTCTGGCCTCTTATAGAAAGCTGAAGACAATAAGGAGCTGCAAGGTATAAGATTATGTAGAAATGGTCCTCCAATATCACATCTGTTATTTGCAGATGACTGTCTTATAATCTATAAGGCTGAACCAGATCAGTTAAGGAAGGTCAAAGAAATACTGGCAACGCTTGGGGAAGCTGGTCGGGAGAAAAAAATTAACATGGAAAAAAGCAGGGGCTCAGTTCAGTAGATGAATACATAGAAGAAAGGAAAAAAATACTCCTCAAAATTCTCAGAATGAAACACATGTAGATCCAAGAAAAATATCTGGGAGCCAAGTTATGTTTCCAAGGTGAACAAAATGACCATTGGGAAATTGTGGATTAAATGAACACTAGACTGGCTACTTGGAAGGCAAAATTGTTGTCACAAGCAGGGAGAACTACACTAGTGAAAATAGTGTTACAAGCCTTACCCACCTACTTAATGTCCCACTCATTATTACAGAAAAGAACAATTAAAGAAATTGAACGAATCCAGAAGAGGTTCTGATGGGAAGGAAACAACACAAACAAAGCTTACACTCAATCCCGTGGCACCATATCTGTAAAACCAAAAATCAAGAAAATTGAGGAATTCAACAAGGCTCTCTTCTCAAAACAGATATGGAGACTCTTCACAGCCAAATCAGAACTCTGGGCCAAAATCATCAAACAAAATTATATCAAATCCAAGTCTATCTTCAAGCTAACAAAAAAACCAAGGGACTCTTGGTGGTGGATACAAGTAGTAGTTTTCTCAGACCAGCTGAAAGGGAATCTGTTTTGGCAACTAAAAGATTAAAAATCCATTCACCCACTTGATCCTTGGAATCCATCCATACAAAAGGCACCCCAACACTCAAAGCTAACCTCCAAGGCCAACTACATATAGAAAGGGTCAGTGAACCAAGGAACCAAGAAGGGCATTGGAACCACCCCCGACTACAGGAGCTATTTGAGGAAGAAACAATAAACCACATCATACAACTTACAGAATTTCATCCACAGACCCAGACAAACTCCTATGGAAGAGTTCAAGAAAAGCATTATACAGTGTCAAAATAGGCTACAAATTCTTTATAGATCAGCTATCATCCACCTCTGGACCACATGAGAACTGGAATCTCATCTGGAAAACAAAAGTGCCCTTCAGGTTTCAAATATTCATGTAGAAGTCATGGTGGGGTGGAGTGAAAACCAGAGACATACTCCTTTTTTTCCTGGAAATAGGACTCTGCACTTTATATGATGCTGCTACAGAATCATGGCTGCATCTCTTCTTTCAGTGTTTCTCTGTGAGGGCTATCTGGCTTACAGCCCAAATTGGAATGAACCCCGAGGAAGTAAATAACAAATAGCTGAGTCAGTTTGTCACTGATAGGATAACAGCAAAGTTAAAAATCTTGCCACCAAACCTCAAACAGAGGTATATTGCCAAATTTTTCATCATATGGGACATGTATAATGCAAAGATCCATCAACAACACATACTTGATCCCATACATTTTCTAGAGAAAGCTGATTCATACATAGAACCGAGAACCCATTGACAACTCTGAACAAGCAGCAGACAATGCCTGGGGAGACTCTCAACAGAACACAGATGTCTATAATTATATGGATGGCTAATACGACCCAGCAAGGCAACAGCAGGGACAGGTATCGTCTTACTAAATGATTATCGATCTATGATTTCAACAGAGCTGCTTTCAAGTCTTCAAGCTAAAGGGTGGGCAATAATCCATGGACTGGAAAAAGCATCTCAATGAAAATCAAATCTGCAACTCTTGTCTGATTACCCTAAGTAATGTAAATAGTATCAATGGAAAAGAAGAATGCACAGACTGGCAAGAGATACACCTCGAGGAAGCTGCCACTAACCTTTTGACTTTTTTAATACTATATATATCAAGTATGTTTGTAGAACTCTTAATACAATTGCCCATGAGCTAGCATATAATGCCGGTAAATATAATATGGTTAACCAAAATCAGGGCAGTAGTATCTCAGCATGTAGAGAAGGTAATGCAGTTTTGTTCTTTTGAAAAAAATGTCCATTAAGAGCATTTGACAAAAAAAAAAAAAAAAGAAATCATGACTAATGTGTTGCATGTAGAGAGAATTTTGGATCCCATTAAATTAGGTGGGGGTGCCAAACTTAGCATTTTATACACTGCATTGGCCTTGGGCCTTCAGGCAAGGCCCATAAGAATTTTGAAAAAAATCTCAACCCTAGCCTTCTCAAATTGTACATTTGCACCCGTAGTTATAGCTACAATAACTTATTCAAAGTGGATGTTAAAGCCACATCATTCATTATTAAAAAATTTTCACCAAAACAAGGAGGTGTGACCTACGTCCTTATCATCCATCTTAAAGTACTTGTACCAGGACTGACTTTTTCTCTTGTAAGTATATCAACAACAATACAGGGAGGTGTATCAATACTTTGAACCTTGCTTGTGACCTCCAACGAAACACACTATTTTTTTGATAATATTGGAAGGGGCTACACAAGAGGGGGGGTAGCACGTCCCCACAAATCACTAGACAGAATTACACCAAGATCATAAGGAAGAGCTCTTGGGTTGAAGTTTGAAGAGGAATCACCAAACGTTTGTGCTTCATGGGCTAACTAGTTCGAGGACGATCTTGTTATCTTCTTGATTCCTTCTTAGTGTAATTCAGAGCGCAGAGAAGCCTCTCTTAGTCCACTATATTTGCATCATATACAAGTCCAAAGTTGAGCGCCTTGTTAGGATTGAGGTGACCTGCTCCCATGGCTAGAGGTCTGGTGGGTTGCTCGCCGTCTAGGAGTTCTGTAATGGGTTTGAGAGTGGTATTGAGTGAATCTTCTATGATCATCATGACAGATTGAATGGCCGTTGGACTCCGTTCAGGATGGACTGCTTTTAGAAGTGCTGCCATTCCCACCACATGAGGACAAGCCATGGAGGTTCCGTACATGATGTTGAAGTTGCTAAACAATTTTGTTGATCCTTCATTCACAATAGGACTTATTAGAGGGCAAGATGTAAAAGAACAAAGGAGCCGGGGGCTATGAGGTCAGGCTTTAGAACATGGTTGCAAATTGCAGATGATCCTCTGGAGCCGTAAAAAGCAACTTTGGGTGCTGGCTTTGTTCCAATATGTGTAGTAGGAAATTCAAGAGTTGCTCTTGGATCATGGCTTTTATTCAGGTACTTACTTCAGGATTATTTCAATACATGTATCAGGGTTGTTTGACCCACAAGAACGGCTGGAAATGAGAAGGGGAGGTAAAGTTCTATGTAATTACCTGTGTATAAGAAGATAGCTCCAGCTACCTGCGTTGTGAACATTGGGGATTTGTAGCTCAATATTGTGATCTCCTATAAATTTACTGTTATAGATAATCGTGCATTCGCACACAACTATCTTGTGACCAATATTACACAAATCCTTCGCCTACAAAGATGCACCTGCAATTGAAACACCATAGCCACTGTATTGCTTGATATCAATCTGCATGGAACAATCTCTGATGAACCGCTCACACTTAGCTGTCCTGTGTTGATAAATTCATTCTTACGAGAAATTGTGGAGACATTTACAAACAATGAACCTGAAAAGTAAATGTACAACTTAATCAACATTCTTCCTGGAAAACTTGAAGGACATGCATTGTCCGTTTAACTTACAGTCATAATCAACCCAACCAATGCATTGATTAGCTACATCATAGACAAAAATATTTTTGTCTTAGAACAATGTCTGCAGTGATAAAAAAAAAAGATATTAGTTTTCTTCTATTTAGTCAGGCTTACCAAATCACAGCTTTAATAACTCGTATACAAATTGAGGCCAATGTACATGCATGATTATTGATATTTACATTGCATCTACATCATTCAAAATGTGGTCGCCTATATCATGTTTTTGTTTCAGACAGCAGAACTGCTATGCAACAGTTTGACATTTCATTAAAATGAAAGGAAGCATTTCCAATGTCTTAAAGTGGAAAGGTTTTAGAGAATCTGAAACAATGTAGAAAGTCTACTGATGATTGAAAAAATATAGGAAGTTTAATGACAAAACAATTGCTGATGAAAAAAAGATTGTCGGAGAAGTCAAGAGTTGGCAGAACTAACTAAACCTCAGAATGAACTTTCAGCCAAATTTTTATCCTGATATAAATTGATTAGTTGTTGCAGATTATCTTTTATCTCCAGATAAATAAGGAAGTTCTTATATATGTTAACAGTTGACACTATATTCCATGATATATGTTAAGTAATTGCATCTCAAATTACTTAAAATAGACAATAGTTGGGATTTCCCTGTAAACAATGTAGAGAGTGCACATATCTAAAAAGGCCATTATCCAATGGTGGCCCCTGCTACGTGGGGTCTTGGGAGGGATAGATTGGATAGTCCTAACTACTAACCTTTGTCATTTTCTTTTGCACCATGCGGCTGCTCTCATTCCCACGATTTGAGAGTGCACATAGAGCACCTAGAAATAGTATTTAGGGAACATTTCAAGCAATTAGCTTTTATCCAACCCATGCCTAACGCTTAATTGTGAAAAGTTGTTTATTAGATATGGTTGTTGCATAACTTATGCCCAAATTCTGAATGTTTTCACAACTAAGCTTCTATTCAATGGATAAATAGTGGACATACCTTTAAATGTTTTCCAAATTGCAAATGTATTTATGAAATTCTTCTTTGTTATTTCTCTTTATTGGATATGGTGCCATGACTTGATATATTGCAATGTATTTAGGAGTTTGAGTTTGTGTACAAACTACATAGATAACATTTGAAAACGAGTTTAATAATGACATTTCATTTAGCCACGAAGGTGAAGATTTTACCAACAAAACCACAAATCATAAAAAAACAAAAAGCCAGTTATACTTCACATTTACAGAGCCTCCAAGGCCTGAAATTCAAGATATCAATGGGTGACACAAGAAGAGTTAGGGGGTAGACCAAAAGGGACATGGTTAGAAGTAGTCAGAACTGATTTAGGCACTAATAATTTAACAATGATATGGCTTTAAATTTAATGGTTTAGCAAATCAAGATTCATGTAGCCAACCCCATATAGCTAGGATAAGGCATGGATGATAATGATGATGGCATACTAGGGATGCTTGTTTATGAAGTAGCCTGGCTTGCTTGGCCTGCAAATTTTTGGGCCCAGGTGGATTTCTCCCAGGCCTAGCCCAACCTAGATCCATAGTAAGCCTGCAAAAAATACAGGTCTGTGATGCATAGCTATAACAAGTTGATATTAGTTGTAACCTTAGAATGAACTTTCACTTTGCATCGGTTAATTGTAACCTTAGAATGAATGGACTTTCAGTCAAATTTTTATCTTGATATGATTGATGTGATTGTAGATCTGTAGATTTAGAATTGTCTTAAGAAATCCTACAACTTGTCTATGTTGTTTGGGCACACATTAGACTTCAATATCTTAGTAAATATTATTAAAATAATAATAAGATAATAATAATACATTAATAATAAAATATTATTACACTATTAACAAAATACTATTAAAATAATAATACTATAACAAAATATCAATACATTAGTTATTAAATATAATAATAGAATATTAATGCAATATAATTAAATAATCATAAAATAATAATAAAACAATAATAATTGAATAATAAAATATTATAAAATTAATAATAAGATAATAATAATAAAATAAGAGTATATTAATGATTAAAATAAAAATAAAACATTGGTAAAAGAAAATGCTAAAGGTTAAGAGTTAGGACTATCCAATTTACCCCTCCCAAGATCCCAGATAGCATGGGCCAAAATTGAATAATGCCCTTTTCAAATATTCACACACTCTACAATGTTTACAAGGAAATCCCAACTACTGTCTATCTTAAGGTAGTTTGAGATGCAATTACGCGAATCACAATAATTGGTCCTTACAATATCATAGTCCATGATAGCACTGTCGACATGCCCTATGGTAAAAGAAAGAGGACTTAGTCAAGAGGTAGGCAAAGTAGGGGAGGCACGAATTCAAATGGGATCCACTTTATGGAAGTCGAACCGGATAGAGCAAAATCGAGCCTCCAAATGAGAGGTTTGGGAAATTAGGAGGGGAAAGGGCTCAATCCAGAAACGAACAACCAAAAGGTTGAGCTGGAATAGACTGAAGAGCATGAACTTAGGAGCTTAGGAAGATGAATGGGTTTGGCTTAATTAGGAAACTATTGATCGTAAAACACTAGTCTTATGAGATACAGAACCAGGAAGTGACAATGACACAAAAGCATGACCATTGTCCAAATCCAGTGACTAAAGGGTTGTTGGTCTTAGGAAAGGTGAGCCTAGAAGGTGAGTCTAGTGCAGCAACAACCAAACAGAGAAATCTTGAGAGTAGGAATGGTACACTTCATTCTAAGCAACCCAAGAGGAAGAGATATGAATTCCTGAAATCTTAAATTCCTTTAGTCTCCAAGTCAGTGGGAGAGCATCAATTGAGGGAGGAGGAGAAGAAGACGAGGGGAAGGGAAGGAGGAGTCAGGTGGAAAAAGTGTACAATTGAAAGAGAAGATTGGAAGGAGGCAAGCTAGGCATCAAAGAAGGAGAGGAGTCAGGGGAAAAAGATACGGAAGAGGAGCAAGAGGATCGAAGAAGGGAGAGGGAGGAGCAGTGGAGAAGGGGTGAGAAGCCAGGTGGATTGGAGAGTGCTCAAAAAGATGTAGTGGTGATTGACAAACTCGCGGAAAGGGAAGTCTCATAGGTAAGTCCCTAGGATTGTTTTTCTGGGGGGGAGAGGAATTTGCAAGAAGAGCCTTCAGACAATTTGAAAAGGACAAGAGGGAGAAGGGTAAGAGAAAGGAACTAAGTGGGTTTAACAAAGAGTGGGATGAGGAAGGGGGCGAACAAGAAATGCTAGAAGAGGATATGTGAGAATTGAGAAAGAGCTGCTCTAAGGAGCATGGAAGAGGGAAGGAAGGATGAGGTACTGAGCTGGAACGTGAGGGGCCTTGGGGAAAGTGATAGGAGGGTTGCCATGGACAGCATCCTAACAACTGATCATTTGAAGGGTAGAGGATTTTATATGGCAAGCATTTGTGTCATGTGAAATTCAGACGAAGAATCTGTTCTACATTTATTTTCCACCTGCAAGACTGCAAGAATCATGTGGAGTTATTACACTTCTTTATTCGGGAAAAGAGCCATTCAGCCAAGTTCAGTAGCAGAAATTTTCTCTGCCTGGCCAAGATTTGGGGGAAGTAGGAAAGCAAGGATAGTATCCCCTTTGTTGTGTGTTGGATATTGTGGAATGAAAGGAACAAGCGGACCTTTGGAGACAAATTCAAGAACACAGAAGTTCTGGTGGCTCTGGTGGGGAAGTTAATTGCAGATTGGGTATGGGTGTTGTTACCAGATTTTTGATCAAGTGAGCAGATCAGATTTGGGGGAAAATTTTTAGAGCATGCTTGAGATTCAGTTGATGTAAATTGTATCAGTCTTAGTTTGGACTGTGCCTTAGTTCAGTATGCTATGTTTTGTAAGCTAGGTGCCAACTTGTCACCTATTGCATATAACTGATTTTTTCTATTTAATAAAATTTCTATTTTACCATTCAAAAAATGAGAGCAGTGTCGGTTGTTAACATATATAAGAACCTTCTTAATTTGTTAAATATGCTTAGGTTCTTAGTTTTACATGCCATCAAGAATAATAATTTAATGGGCGATTATTTTAAGTAGAATAATGCTTTCATGTATACATCATAATTATCTATAAAACCTTTTTACAGTGAACAATATATGTTAGAAACCACGAGTATATGCACACATAACATAAATACAAAGGCTTGCATCTAACTAATACTCATTCACTGCGTTTTGAACTAGAGCATACAATGGAGAAACATCTAAGTCGGGATTCAAACCTCCTAAAATGGTCATCCCTTGGTCCTGAACTATATCTATGAACTACATCAAAAGCATCAAAAGCCGAAGAAAATGGTCACCCCATGGTCCCCACCCAGTAGAGCGCTAAAGAGATCAAAAACCGAAGAAAATAAACAAATAGAAAAGAAGAATCAACATCTTCGGAAACCCATCTATGAACTACATCAGAAGCATCAAAAGAGAAAGAACAGTATAGACCCACATAGCTGTCAATTTAAAAACTAAAGAACCTCAGAACATCAAGAACCACCGAATCCAGAACCCATTAAACAAAGAAAAGGAAAACAGTAAAGAAGCAAAGAATATCAAAAAGCACATCAATATAAATTACATCAAGAAGAGAAAATTAAGGAGCAAAATAAAGCGAATTCAAGAACAAGACGCTGAAGCCAAACACCATCATCAATTAAATCCAGAGCTTAAAATCAACCACGGACCAAAAAAGAATTAAAGGCAAGATGGTGTAAGGATTATAGGTACCCTCGATGGGAAAATCGACGATCCCATACTGCAAGATTCGGCGGTACCTTACCCTGTCACGAGCTCTAAGCTCACTCAGCTCAACTCTCTGGTCCACACGAAGGCGCTTTTCGAGCTTCAGGCTCTTTGAAATCCACAAAACACCACCGCCGGCAAGAAGACGGTGCCCAAAACCAATTCCAGCATGACGAAACGCCAACATTTCCTTTTGATTTGCTTCTCCCGACAACAGCAATAAAACAAACGGTTCTTAAATTGTAAACCCATACAATTCAGAGGCGAAGTTGGAGGTCTGTGTCTTTCTATACCACTGAAAGTTCAGGAAGAGAAGAAAAGAGTGTGCGTGAGAAAGAAAGCAAGAAGAGAGAATAAAAAAGACGTTCCACGAAACCACCACAACGTTCACCAACAGAGGATTCAAAATCAGATTAGGTTGCTCTGTAAAATGTAAATATATATGTTTTCTTCCTTACTTCCACATTCTAAGTTCTAACCTCTAAATTACGATGAATGCGTACAACGCACTCCCACCACACTGGTTTCGGGTCTGGATGGTAACAGCCCGTGGGCCCCCAGTTCACCGGCCTAGATGGCCGAATGTATCCATTTTATCCAATTTTTAAGATACACGAAATCATTCCTTTCTTCGAATCCAACGGTTGATATTCTCAATGATGGGCTATCGAATTCACATCTGCGCACCCACAAGGGGACGCCCCACAACGTCCTACGGCACATCCCCTCCGTGTACGCGGAGATGTGCGAGACGTTGTGGGGCGCAGATCTGAACTCGTAACCGTAAAAAAATACGAATTCAAATCTTCGCCCCATAGACTTCCACCCTACCAACGTCCCACACAATGGGAGTGCGCCATTTGTTCAGCCGGATGGTTGAGTTCTTCCCGCGTGTAGGCTAGCTCGTCCCGTTAGTCCCGAAATGAGCCCCAACTTCGGCTTAGAACCCTCTGGCCCTTGAGATCGGCTTCGATCAGTGTATGGCCCGTTTGATCGAGAACATCTCCATACTTGTATGTTTTATTTTATGAGAAGATATTACCAATGCAATATGATGATTGTTTGAATTGGCTTTGCACTGACTGAATATGCGCCCTCGAGTTCAAATGTGCGCCCCACAGCCGGACGCTCCACAAACACCCCACATAATCGGAAGGTGCCAAGTGTCAGCACGTGTGAAGCTAACAGGACGGACGTTAGCTCCAAATTCCCGCTACTCTCAACTCTTGATCTAGCCTCATCTCTTAATCCTTGCACTCCTCCATCCGAACTAATGGCGAGAACTCCGTCAAAGATGACCACTCCGACAAATACACCAGATGTACTCCCCGTCCCTCTCTAGCATCCTTTACATGTTTTGCTAAGTTATTTTTTATCCTTTTTTTTTCAATACAAAACACAGAAGGGAAGGGAGATCACCGACGACCACCCGACCATTATACAGGTTCAGTTTTTCCCTATTCACTCTCATTTATTTATTTTTATTGCATTAAAACTTGGATTTTCTAATAAAAATAGAAAAAGTGAATTCTATGTAAAAACACCAACATTCAAAATTAAGAATATCCATATTCAATGAACACCTCAAATTTTGTTCTTTGACGCTCACCTACATTGTCAATGGAACCAGAGCCCGGCGAGAGAACTCTCACTAGGGAACACCAGATCATTTTTCCTCCGGAGCAAGCGCTTCCCCGAGGATTACAGCATGCGAATGCGAGATCTTCCCGTCGCTGGATAGTAGAAGTGTAGAACCGCCAAGCTATTCGATTAGAGCTTGGTTTTATTTCAGCCCTTCTCTTATACAAAAGGAGTAGTGAGGCTTCCCGGGATTACTTGGCAATTTAATTTAAAATAGAATTTCCACCCCTTTCCAAAGCTTGAAGATGAAAGAGAGGCATGCAATCATTATTCATTAATGGCATTCACCCAGTTCTAGGGTTTGGCTCATAACTCCCAAATTCAATTTTTTCACTTTTTCTTTCTTTTTAATTTAAAAAATTTATTATAAAGACATAACAAGCCATTTAATTTCCCCACATGTGAGCCAAGTGCCCATCTCAAGTATGATGTGTTCCTATACGATTCAAAGTGCAATCCAACACACACCAAAGGAGACTCTCCACCTCTCATTAACTGCTGTTTAACATTTCAAATAGAGTTGTTTAGAATTTGTTAATCTTTATTAATCTTGGGTCAGACTTGGGCTTGGGCGTATTGAGCTTTATAACCCAATTTCCAAGTAGAACATATTGATAATATGTAGATATATATATCACAAATTATTGGCACGGGCTCAAATTTGGTCACGCTAAGCTTGAACTACTTGAGGACCCATGAGTATAACTCTTAAATTTTATAATTCTTAATTTAAAAAATACTATTGTTATTAACAGTAATATTATTAATTAATAAAACTAATATTATTAATTATTAAAAATAGTAATAAAATAATTAATTTAAATACTCGTGAAAGTGATTATTAATTTTTAAATTTTAATATTAATAAAATAATCAATTATTATTGGTAATTGATTAATTTGTTGGTTATGTATCTCTAATATTAATTACTAAAAACAGTAATATATTTTGGTAATTTTTCTTTAATGATGAATATATAAATAATAAATTTTTAATTAAGTTTTGGGAGTTTTTAATTAATCTTGATATTAAAATACTTAATTTAATTCTTAATAAAAATAATTATTAAATTTCAAATTTTAACATTAATAAAATAATTGTGTATTACTGCTAATTAATTAATTTGTTGGTAATATATCACTAATTAATTAATTATGAATTATTAATATATCACTAATATTAATCACAAAAAAATAATATATTTTGGTAGTTTTTAATTCATCATGGATATGAATAATATATTTTAAGTGAATTTTGGTATTTTTTAGTTAACCTTGAAAATAATTAATTAAATTTGGTATGAGTTATAATAAATTAAAATGAAATTATTAATTATAAACAATAGGGAATATACCATTCAATGTAAATGGGTGGTAACCAGGTCAGATAAATGAAAACCAAACCATACCCTATCCAATAAACCACATCACTTTAGTTAAATGGATCGGATAGAGAGAGAGAGAGAGAGACGTGTCTTAGTTTTTTTTTGGGTAAAAGACTTAAACCTCCCCTTAATTTTAAAATAAATACTAATACCTCCCTTCTAATTTCTAATAGGATTTCAACCTCCCTTGTCAGAACAAGATTCCATTAAATTTAATAGAAACAATAAAAAGACTCTTTTATCCTTCATTATTCTTTAAATTTAAAAATCCGCCCAAACAAGCAAATAAAGAATTACCACTACTTTTTTTGTAGAATGATAAAGTTAAAACATTAAAATATGAAGGAAATTACATCAAGAGGAACTAAATTCAAGACAAAACCTTTACTCACTATTAGTTGATTGTATCATAACTAGACTTGTTCATGGGCCGGGCTTTGTATATGTATCAACAGAATACACTCAGGCCTGAGCCTGAGCTCGGCCCGACCATTGGGCTTAAGTTTTGAGCCCGATCCTGGCCCTCGTATAAAGCTTGAAGCCTGAGCCCAACCCAGCCAGAAATTTGAAAACAGAAAAATATTTCTTTTTTATTCAATAAAAAAGTGTTTATTTATATTAAAAACCTTCGAAACTCAAAAATAATAAACATTTCACTATTACTTGGAAAAATGAGAAGAATAACAAAGAAAAAATATTGTATATATATTATTAAATAAAATATATTTTTATTATTTAATATATAATATCAAGTCGGGCTCGGGCTTAAACTGGTCTTTTTTGAGAAAGCCCGGACCCGAACCCACGGACCTAAAATTATGACCAAGCCCAACTTAATAATGGATCAGGCCAGACCGTCGGGCTACCTGACCCATGAACAGGTCTAATTATGATTATTATGATGAAGCAGTAGTTGCATAAAAATAATGAAACGCTAAACTGAGTAATAAGTGATTTAGAATCAACAAAAAGGACAATTGGTTCACGAATATGAATATTCCAACTTTTCCGTATGAACCTAATAACAATATGATTTTTTCTAGTCAATAGAATGTGTTTGTCTATAAACTTCTGCACACTTTGAAGAGTTTTATACACTGCATACACCACAACTACTACTACATCGATCAACAATAACAGGATTCACCCAACCTCCAAAAACTTCATCTAACAACCAACGATCACACATGCAGTCATATTCCCCTTTCAATATTGAACCATCATAGTAAACTATATTATATCATTGACTTATCTGTGGATTGATAACTGTATCCTTATCCATCACTCTGATAATCTGATTTTATCACCCTCATGATGTTTCTGTACAACCATGGGACAAGACCGTCATTTTTAAGCCAGTTCACCATCACTTTTGAATCACCTTCCACTGCCAATTTTCTATAGTTGAGAGACCTTGCCAGCCTCAAACTGTGTAGTACGGTAGTTTATTATGCCCTTGCTTTTCCTTGGCCTGTAGGACCTGATTACCAGAATGCAAGGCAGTGAAGTGGGGGGGGGGGCAGCTTATGGGGTAGAAGTTGAGGTAAGATATTTACTAAAATATGTAAGATGACTGTTCCATGTTTCTTCCCAAACAGGAGTACAGGACTTTATTGAAATCTATACTACCTATAAAAGAGAAAATTCCCCTTTTTTTCTGGAATTTTCATTGGACGTTTTCTACTCCTCTTGTCTAAGCACACAGCGGGCATAAAGAGGGCATATATGTCCTTTACTCTCACTTCAGAAACTGCCCACTCACAACTGTTCAGAAACTACCCACTTATAAGTTATAACTGTTTAGAAACTGCCCATGAATTATAAATAGTTTTGTCTTAGAGAAATTGCCATGTGTGAATGCACGCACACGTTTACTAGTATGTATAAGAACCAGCTCAGACTTTTCCTATTTTACTTTTATAATGTGTCTAAGCAAGGGATATTAGGGTGTCAACAATACAAATCTTCTTCCTCCATTTTCTAAGACCATTTCTTCTGTAAAAGAACAGCTATTACATCTTTTTTCTTTTGATAAATGATGAAGTTTTATTAAGAAAGAGAAGGAATTACATCAAAGTTTTACAAGACAATCATCCAAATAGGGATGCAAGGTGCGACATTATGTAATTCTCCCTTTAGAAGTGCAACATTTTAGGAGGTTGCCTCTATTTGGATATCTTTGAGTGATTCCTAAAGATATTTCTATGCTATTACAGGAGTGGCCAGTTAGAGATTTCACTAGAAGAGGTAAAATATTATAGTTTCCTCTCTAGCCGAGGGAAGGAAGATGCTAGATCCTAGGTGGTGGTTAAGATGATTGGCAAATAGGAAGGATGCTATATAGATGGGGATCAAGTTAAAGGAATTTATAAGGCTAAATTATCATTCGTTTTTAAAAGAAATGGAGAAGAAAATCTTGTAGGGTTATCCTTTTTGTGCATAACATCTGAGCTTTAAGTGTATACTCTTATGATTCTCATCCTGTGACAATTGTATGTCTTTTGTTGACTATGCTGACTATTAATTTCACGTTGTCAGTCTGAATAGGTCTTATTTTAATTTTTTTTTGTGCAAGGGAGAGAGAGTGGAAATGGAAGTGATAAATATAACCAAATAGTAAATTTATTGACATAGAACTTCTATGCTGTTTGTTGTGTGAATGATTGAGTTTTCTAAAAAAACATAACATGATTTTTTTTTTCTTTTTATGCATGTAAAAAAAATTCTATAGACAAAGTCTGATACTTTATAAGATTTTTTTTTCCATTTATTTTCTCACTGATTAATTATTGTTCTTGATAGTATTTTATGGGTAATTTGTGAAAAGTTCACTTTGAAGATTCAACTTTATCATAACCTGTAATTTGCTTTGTCTTTCTGCATTCTCCCAGGTGGAAAACAATCCATATGATCCTAGTTTAATGGTTTTCATGGACTATAGAGATTACACAAAACCGGCAGTTCAATGCTTGGAAGCAGAATATCCAACATGTCTTTATGTCATGCCCATGTCACCAACAAGAGTTTTCTTTGAGGTTTATTGGATTTAATACAGTTTTGGGTTTCAAAATATATTTTATTTTTATGTTAGTTCAATAACATTTTAAGATGCTTAGAAAATTTTTAATTGCAGGAGACTTGTTTGGCCTCAAGAGATGCCATGCCCTTTGATCTGTTGAAGAAAAAATTGATGTCAAGGTTGGATAACATGGGTGTTCGAATAATAAAAACTTATGAAGAGGTAATACTTTAGATGGGATTACAATATCTCTTTGACTGGCTACAATGAAGCTTGACATTTCTATCACTACATTAGAGTATTGGACAATCTACTTGCAGTGTCTCAGATGAGAAAGTCTCATAGGTGAGCCTGACCATATTCCGGGGCAGAGCCTGTGTGTGTGTGTGTTGGGGGGGGGGGGACCTATGAAGTTGATAGGTACTCATGTTCTACCATAGGACCCTTCAAAATTTTAACTTTTAAGAAAATTATGATATAGCAATCATAAAGTTTTTCAAAGTAGATACCCAATATTGATTTTATTATGACCTTATTGTTGAAGTTATAATTATGATTGTAATGCTGTTTTTTTTAATAAGTAAACAAAGTATTTATTGAATCTCAATGAGAATAGGCATTATAAGCATCCCACAGAGAGGCACAAGGTGTTGCCTTTCACACAGAAACTTTAATAGGATAGAAACAAAAATCAATTGCAATTGAGCCCAATACAAACTCTCCCTATTACCCTTGTTTAGCTTGCCCATCTGCCATAACATTAGCAGTTCTCTTAACCCAACAGATTTTCAAGTTCATATTTCTGGTTAGCCAATTAAACTTTTTCATCTCATCTCTAAAACACCAGATTATGGACTCTGGATCTTCAACCACCCTATCATCAATTTTGAGTCCCCTTCGATCTCCATATTTATTAGACCCATCTCACTTTCTATTTGTACCCCTCTCATAGCCGCAAGTAATTCTGCCCTGATGGAATCTCCCACTCCCACAAGACCAGAAAATAGTGCAATGATACTTCCTTCTTTGTTTGTCAGCACCCCTCTTATGCCTGAAGGGCCCAGATTTCCTTGACTACTCCCATCAAAGTTTAGTTTAACGTAGTCTTCAGCTGGGCGTTCCCAAAGAATCTTTTCTTTTACTTTTTGGAAGAACTTCTGGCCACTAACTCCCAATTTCTCTCTATATCATCAAAGGACCAAGATGAAAAAGAATTTGGGGTCCTAAGACAATGTATCACCCTCACCAAAACACAATCTTTTACTGCTTCTATGGATCTATCCTTTCTTGAGAAGATCCTATTATTTATTTCTTCCCACAGAGTACATACTATTGCTGCTCTACACTTCTCCACATAATTCTTCCCCTCCTTTTAGTCCAGACAAAGGTAGAAGGGTAGAAAAGCTTATCTACCCCTGTTGGCAAGGACCACTTGCAACCAAAGCAAAGAGAAAAGCCACTCCCAAATATCTACAACAAACAGGACAAGATATTAGTAAGTGGTAACAATTTTTTTCATTGGATTTACATAGAGTGAATCAGTTTGGGGATAAGCATAAGAAGGGTCTTCTTTTTTGTATCATGTCCATGGTGTTGATCTTCCTGTAGGACCTCCCAACAAAAGGCTCCAAATTTTGGTAGGAATAGGCCRACACCACACTTCCTTAATAAGAAAAGGCTGAGGAGGAGAAGACAAACAAAGAGACTTAACAAGAGAAGCACAAGAAAAAAGATCTTTTGGATGAGGAACCTAGATATGTCTA